GAAAAGTGGGTATTAGGGTTGTATCTTTTCACTATACTTATTTAATCTCTATGTTGAGCAAATAATCTGAGAAATTGGACCATATGAAAAATGCAGCATCAAGATTGGGATGAAAACTTATTAATGACCTGTGATATGTAGATGACACAATCCTGCTTACTGAAAATTAAGAGGACTTGAAGCACTTACTGATAAGGATCAAAGACTTCAGTATGGATTATGCCTCAAAGTAAAGAAATAAAAAAATCTCACAACTGGACCAATAAGCAACATCATGATAAATGGAGAAAATATCGAAGTTGTCAAGGATTTCATTTTACTTGGATTCACAATCAACTCTCATGGAAGCAGCAGTCAAGAAATATAATGGCATATGGCACTGGGCAGGGAGCTCTGGTAGCATAGTGCCTAAGGCACTTGACTGCTAACCAGAAGGCTGGCGGTTCAAACCTATCAGCCACTCCTCAGAAGGAAGGTTGGGCAATCCTACTTCTGTAGTGATACTGCCTCGGAAACCCAAGGAGGGGTCGCTATGAGTCGGGGCTGACTCAATGGCAAACAACAACAACAACAACAACATGGCACTGGGCAACTCTGCTGCAAAAGACTTCTTTGAAGTGTCACTTGGAGGACTGAGGTGTGCCTGACCCAAGCAATGGTCTTTTTCGATTACTACATATGTGTGTGAAAGCTGAACAATGAGTGAGGAAGACTGAAGAAGAATTAATGGTTTTGAATTATGATGTTGGGAAAGAATATTGACTATACTATGGACTGCCAGAGAATGAACAAGTCTGTCTTGGAAGAAGTACAGCCAGAATGCTCCCTAGAAGTGAGGATGGTGAGACTTCATCTTACTTTGGACATGTTATCAGGAGGGACCAGTCCCTGAAGAAGGACATGATGCTAGGGGGTCAGTGAAAAGGAGGAAAACACTCAACAGGATGGATTGACACAGTGGCTGCCACAATGGGCTCAAACATAGCAATGATTGCAAGGATGGTGCAGGGTCAGGCACTGCTTCCTTCTGTTGTAAAGACAGTGTCTATGAGTTGGAATCAACTTGATGGCACCTACTAATGGCAACTCCATCTTGGTATCTGGTTTCCAGAGGACCCAATTATTAGTGTTCTTCAAATTGCAGATATCTGAAGCAATCTCAGCCAATATTTTGATTCTTGTATTTCTTTCCAGAGATTTTCATATCTATAAATATTTGTTGGAATTTTATTTTAAGATAGATGATTTTGATTTCTTTTTCCTCTAACATTATGTCATGCATCTGTGAATAAATGATAACTTTTTAAAACATAATCCTTAAAATGTGAACCACGTGTTGCTCATCATCTTCAACAACAACATACTTAACATTTCTTGAGAACAAGCATTGAATGGCATGACTCTAATGAATCAGGAAATCGGAGAGCTCAGTAATCTTTCAACAGTTTTTTTTTTTGGGGGGGTCCTTTAAATATTTTATTGTATTTTTGGTGAAAATGTACACAGCAAATTAGTTTTCCATTTACCTATTTCTATACATTGGTTACATTTGCCACATTGTGCCAACATTATCGATATTTTCATTCTGGTTGTTCCATTTTTGTAAGTCTAGCTTCCCTGCTTCTGCCCCCAACATTTTCATCTTTGCTTTAGGAGAAATGTTGACCATTTAATCTCATAGAAACCAAAACCAGACTCATTGCTATTGAGTTGATTCCAACTCAGAATGACCCCCATTGGATTTCCAAGGCTGTCTGTCAATCTTTATGGAAGCAGACTGCCTCATCTTTCTCATATTTCTTCTGTAGAGGGGCTGGTAGGTTTGAACCACCATTATTTTGGCTAGCAGCCAAGTGTCTTAACGACCCCACCACCAGAGCTTCTTTTGGTCTCATATAGATGACTTTTTTCTTTTTTTTTTTTTTTTTTAAGGAGCACTGTACTCATGAGTTATATTGTTTATTTAATAGCCAATCTATTATTTAGCTGAAAGATAACCTACAGGAATGAGTTCAGTTTAGAGTTCAAAGGATATCTCAGGGGTTTCCTCTAATCTCTACTTGTACATTAGATCTAGCCTTTTTTCTTTTTTTTAAGAATTTGAGTTTTGTTTGAAGTTTGCCTGGGACCATCTATTGTATCCCTGGTCAGAAAACTTGGTAGTGGTCTCCAGGCACCATCCAGTTCTTCTGAACTCAGCATACATGAGGCCTTGGTTCATGTAGGAAATTGGTCCTGTAGACTAGTTCTTCTGAGTCTTTGGTTTCCTTCTTTCTCTTTTGTTCCAAACGAGTAGAGATCACGAGTTGTTCTCCCAATAGCTTTTTAAGATGACAGATTCCTCCTGCACATGAGCCTGGAACCTCTCTATAGGTCTTTCTTTCCATGCCCACCAGAGCTGGCCAAAGACCAGCCGACAGGGACCCATGGTCATACTGCCTTCAGCTCTGATCAGCCTGTTCCTTAGTAGCCAAGCTCCAATTAAAACCTTCTTGTCTCTTGGTTCATAGGTCACCTGGGGTATCAAGGGTTCCAACTTTACAAGGAGATCCTTCATCTAATAGTCCAGGGCCCCTCGAAGGCATTGCTTCCCATCTGCCCCTGTCTAAGGAGAGCTCCTGTGCTGCTTTGTGGCTGGATAGGTGCTGAGAGTGTCTCTCAAGTGTGCCCCTGGCCTGCTGCTCTAGAGATAAT